GGGCAGAGAACTAGTGATGTGTCTGTCAAATTCAGATTTTTGGACCACCTGCATCAGGATCACCAGCAAGCAGGTTATAATGCAGATTCAGGCCCAACACGATGGCTCACACCTGTAATCCCTACACTTTGGGAGGCTGAGTTGGGGGGAACCACTTGAGGTCAGGAGTTTGAGACCAGCCTGGCCACCATGGTGAAACCCAGTCTCTACTAAAAATACAAAAATTAGCCAGGTGCGCTGGCATGTGCCTGTAGTCCCAGTTACTTGAGAGGCTGAGGCAGGAGAATCGCTTGAACCCAGGAGACAGAGGTTACAGTGAGCAGAGATTATGCACTGCATTCTAGCCTGAGTGACAAAGCAAGACTCTGTCTCAACAACAAGAAAAATTGCAGATTCATAGGCCCAACCCAATAATCAATGAGAATCTCTTGAGTTTCAGGAATCTGCACTTTTAACACACCCCATGTGATTCTGCCGTACACTAAAATGTGAATCACTGCTACATTTCCATAACCTTTAAGAATTAATTTGTGCTTCTCATTTTATTTGAAGATGGAGCCCTGACAGCAATGTTTGCTATGGCCTCCTTCTGCAGTCAGCCTGAAGCAAGGAGCTTGAGGTAGACAGGGCAAAGCTAAAATATTCCAAAACAGTATTATAAAAAGAAAATAATTTATCTTCATATAGGCTCCAAACCCAATGTAGAATGTATGGATTTTGTTGTACTAAAGGAAATACACAAACCCTACTAAAAAGAATGCTGGCCATGCACGGTGGCTCACACCTATAATCCCAGCACTTTGGGAGGCTGAGGTGGGCAGATCACTTGAGTTCAGGAGTTCGAGACCAGCCTGACCAACATGGTGAAACCACATCTCTCCCGAAAATGCAAAAAATAGCCAGTGTTGTGGCATGTGCCTGTAGTCCCAGTTACTCAGGAGGCTGAGGTGGGAGGATCACTTGAATCCAGAAGGTGGAGGTTGCAGTGAGCTGGGACCAAAAAAAAAAGAATGCTATGGATATTAAGTGACAGAAGTACTAGAAGTACTATAATAGCAATGCTTTAAAAGGCATATGAGTTTATAATCATTTTGACATCTTAGATTTTAATGTAAGCTAAAATGGACGAGAAACAAAAAGCAAAAATTCTTATGTCCAAGTGCTCCGCATCTCTGGAAAAAAAGTTCTTTGTTATTTTCCCAGGGTTATTGTAATAATGCTAATTTACTTTTTTAGTTTTTTGTTGCTCTCTGCATCCAATAGTGCTATAATTTTCTTTTCTTTTCTTTTCTTTTGAGATGGAGTCTCGCTCTGTCACCCAGTTGGAAGTGTGGTAGCATGATTTTGGCTTACTGCAACCTCTGCCTCCCAGGTTCAAGCAATTCTCCTGCTTCAGCCTCCTTAGTAGGTGGGATTACAGGTGTCCACCACCATGCCTGGCTAATTTTTGCATTTTTAGTAGAGATGGGGTTTCACCATGTTGACCAGGTTGATCTGGAACATCTGACCTCAAGTGATCTGCCCGCCTCAGCTTCCCAAAGTGCTGAGAGTACAGGCGTAAGCCACCACGCCCAGCCTCTAATTTGCCTTTTTAATAAAAAGTGGAGAGAATATTTTTTTCCCATAACATGTCACCAAATTCCTTTTTCTCCTTTTGCAATTTCCAAATAACACTGGGAAATCACTCTATATACTCAATTCAATGGGGAGACATAGCATGCTGACCTCTACATAGTGTTAGAAATAAAAGCATGGTGGCTCATGCCTGTAATCCCAGCACTTTGGGAGACCCAAGACAGGTGGATTGCCTGAGGTCGGGAGTTCAAGACCAGCCTGACCAACATGGAGAAACCCCATCTCTACTAAAAAAAAAAAAATACAAAATTAGCCAGGCGAGGTGGCGCATGCCTGGAATCCCACCTACTGAGGAGGCTTAGGCAGGAGAATCACTAAAACCCTGGAGGCGGAGGTGTGGTGAGCAGAGATTGTGCCATTGCACTCCAGCCTGGGCAACAAGAGCAAAACTCCATGTCAAAAAAAAAAAAAAAAAAGTAAAAAAGAAATATAAGCAATATCCCACATCATTAATGAAATAAAAACTACAAATTCATTCCCACAAGGAAAGATCCAAATGGCTAGATGCTTGATCTGAATCATCGTTTCTTGTTATTTTCATGGTAACATCTCATTTTGTTTAATCACACACGGTATTTTATAGCACTGATTTACGCAGTAGGCATAAATCATTGTGTCCACCTGCTACATACAATAAAACCCCAAACCAAAACGACAGTGGTAATAACCATCACCCTCCCTCTTCCCCCTCAAAAAATCAAAAACACTTTCTCCAGTGCTAAGAATTAACTATTAACTATCATGCTAAATGCTTAAGGCTTAATGCATATTTCAAAACAACTGAAATCAAACCACAGCTTTTCTTCCAAATATACCTATACAGAGCAGATAATCAGAAGCACACTCAAAGTGTCGCTGTACCCCTCCCCTTCCACTGCCTGTCCATCTTCTTCACTTTTGGTAAATCAATAAAACTGCCGAGGAAATTGGTGTTTGAAGAATTTTTCACAAAATCAGTATTTCGCAAATAAACTTTATTTTGCAAAGAATATCATGATATAGTCATGTAAATTTAAATATGGCACTTGAGCAGTATTGACGCAAATTGTATAGTCACAGCACCACATAATGATGGTTTGGTCATCATACCATATACATGATGGTGGCCCCATAGATTATAATGGAGTTGAAAAATTCCTGTCACCTGATAGGAATGTCTTGATCCTGACCCTGCATAGGCCTAGGCTAGTGTGTTTGTCTTTGTTTTTGACCAAAATGTTTAAAAATTCAAAATTTAAATAGATAAAATCTTAATGGATATATTTTTGTATAGCTGTACAATGTGTTTGTGTTTTAAGCTGCATTATTACTAGAAGAGTCCAAAAATTGTTTTTAAATCAAAAAGTTTCTAAAGTAGAAAATTTACAGTAAACTAAGGTTAATTTTTATTATTTCTATAAAAATTATAGAAAAAAAATTCTTTTTTTGAGAAAGAGTCTTGCTCTGTTGCCCAGCTGGAGTGCAGTGGTGCAATCTTGGCTCACTGCAACCGCTGCCTCCTGGGTTCAAGAAATTCTCCTGCCTCAGCCTCTCAGGTAGCTGGGACTACAGGCATGTGCCACCACACCTGGCAAATTTTTGTATTTTTAGTAGAGATGGGGTTTAACCATGTTTGCCTGGCTGGTCCATCCACCTCAGCCTCCCGTAGTGCTGGGATTACAGGCATGAGCCACTGTGCCCAGCCAGAAGAAAAATATTTTTTATAAATTTCTTATAGCCTAAGTGAACAGTATTTATAAAGTCTACAGTAGTGTATAGTAATGTCCTAAGCCTTTACATTCAGTCACCACTGACTCATCCAGAGCAACTTCCAGTCCTGTAAGTTCCATTAATAAGTGCCCCATACAGGTGGTGTCACTGTCACCCAGGCTGGAGTGCAGTGGTGTGATCATGGCTCACTGCAGCCTTGACATCCCAGGCTCAGGTGATCCTCCAACCTCAGTTTTTGCATTTTTAGTAGAGATGGGATTTCGCCATGTTGCCCAGGCTGGTCTTGAACTACTGGGTTCAAGCGATCCACCTGCCTCAGCCTCCCAAAGTGCTAAGATTACAGGCATGAGCCACTGCACCCAACCAGGTGATCCATTTTTTACAAAATCTTTTTTTTTTTTTTTTTTTTTGAGACAGAGTTTCGCTCTTGTTACCCAGGCTGGAGTGCAATGGCGCGATCTCGGCTCACCGCAACCTCTGCCTCCTGGGTTCAGGCAATTCTCCTGCCTCAGCCTCCTGAGTAGCTGGGATTACAGGCACGCGCCACCATGCCCAGCTAATGTTTTGTATTTTTAGTAGAGACGGGGTTTCACCATGTTGACCAGGATGGTCTCGATCTCTTGACCTCGTGATCCACCCGCCTCGGCCTCCCAAAGTGCTGGGATTACAGGCGTGAGCCACTGCGCCCGGCCGACAAAATCTTTTATGCATATTTTTATAGTATCTTTTCTATGTTTGGATACACAAACACTTGCCATTGTGTTACAATTGCCTACAAGATTCAGAACAGCAACATGCTATAGCCTAGGAGCAATAGGCTATATACATATCCTTAGGTGTGGAGCAGGCTATGCCATCTAGGCGTGTGTAAATACACTCTATGATGTTCTCACAATGATGAAATCACCTAATAAGACATTTCTCAGAGTGCATCTCCATCGTTAAGCGAGGTATGACCGTACATGTAAAGTCACAGTTCATGTCTGATTATTCCCACTAATGGAAGGGTACAAAACCAAAAAAAAAAAAAAAAAAAAAAAAAAAAGCAGATAACTGAAAAACAACCATAACTTGTGCTTATGTTTTCATTTTATACTTGTGTCTAAATATTTAGATGAGAACTGATACAAATTCACAGGTTTTTAAAAATGCTTCCTGAGGCCTGTAATCCCAGCACTTTGGGAGGCTGAGGAGGGTGGATCATGAGATCAAGAGATCAAGACCATCCTGGCCAACATGGTGAAACCCCATCTCTACTAAAAATACAAAAATTAGCTGGGAGGGGTGGCACACTCCTGTAGTCCCAGCTACTCAGGAGGCTGAGGCAGGAGAATTGCTTAACCCAGGAGGCGGAGGTTGCAGTGAGCCGAGATCGTGCCACTGCACTCCAGCCTGGTTCCTGGTGACAGAGCGAGACTCTTTCTCAAAAAGAAAAAAAAAATGCTGTCTGAATAATCAAAACTCTTTTTACTTTTCTTGCCCTACTATAGATAGTATCAGTAATGTTAATACACAGTAGCATCATAGGACAAACTACTTTCCCTCCTCCCATCATAGATCATAAGGCTCTCTGTATGAGGGCTTAAAACATTAGCAGTGACTTAATACTTTTCAACATACAGCTGATTTTGTTGGAGAATGGTGTTACAGTATAGTCTTCCTAAGAACTTTATGTTTTAGTGAGGAAAATGTCAATATATAATCAGTGAAAGTGGTCTACATATGATGTAATACTTGTTCATAACTCTTTTAAAACAACAAACAAGGATAAATAGAAATAAAAGAAGTAAAACACACCATAAACCTCTCATTGTTCAGGGTTTTTGAGGCAAATTCAGAGCTAACTACAAGATTATGCTATGAAACTGGAGCCATTTCTATATCATAGTGAGAATTCTAATGAGCCAGAAACAGGCAGAAAACCATATTCAGAGAACAAAGACTCAAAGATAAACAACAGATGAAGACAGAATTAGGCCCAAGAAAATTTTCTCTTTTTTATTAGTAGAGGGCAGTAGAAGACGCTGAACTTGGGGACTGAATACTGGTTCTACAGGTTAGTGCTGACCCTGGGCATAACAATCAATCTTTTTGAATGATAATTTCCTCATTTATAAATTAGGCATAATAACCTCCACCAGCTTGTTTCATGACCTCAGAGCCATGAAAATCAAAGATAATAATGCCCTTAATATCATTTTGTACATTATAAAGGGCTGTTCTTAGAAAATGAAGATTTGATTAACTTTTTTAAAAAAAGAATTAAAGATAAAAGCCAATTTAAAATAAAACTATATATTCTTTTCTTTTTTTAAACCCAGGATAGGTATTCAATAGTAGCTGCTGTAGATCCCCTTCCTTTTTTTTTTTTTTTTTTGAGATGGAATCTTCCTCTGACACCCTTATTGGAGTACAGTGGCATGATCTCAGCTCACTGCAACATCTGCCTTGTGGGTGCTGTCTTCTCAGCCTCTCAAGTAGTAGCTGGGACTACAGGTGTGCACCACCATGCCTGGCTAATTTTTTTATTTTTAGTAGAGATGGGGTTTCACCATGTTGGCCAGGTGGGTCTCAAATTCCTGACCTCAAGTGATCCCCCCTCCTTGACCTTCCAAAGTGCTGGGATTACAGGCATGAGCTGCCACGCCCAGCCCACTTCAGTTTTTGATGAGACAGAAATGGGAAAATGTAGACTGGTTTACTAATTTACCTTGTGATACAATGTTATTGTAGTATAATATACTATAGACTACCCATTAAAGAACCAGGAAGGATAATCTGCTAGCCTTAAGAAGTAAACATTAAATATAAATATAACTCTCTACCTCATTTATAACATATTGATACATTTTATTACAAAGAAAGTCACACATAAATGATTTGTCCTATTTATCATAATAGGCCACTAGTCACTAGGAGCCAAACTTCATCCGCTTAAGTCCTAGGTAGAATGTTTCAATGCATACATATTTATATAAGTTATTAACCTTGTTTCTAACTTTGACATTGCACATCTCCTTAGTAAAAAAAGGCTTACTAGCCATTAACAAATCAAGTCCAACCACCATTTTCCTCTGGTCCTCAAGCAGAGACTCAGAGCTAGTTGTTACAGACAAATTATTTCATTATAACATGAAAATAGCAAGCCTTGGGCTATTGCAAAAGGCTTTTCAAATGTTGATCTCTAACTTGGAGAAAATAGAGGAAAACTGAAATATAGAGTGCTAATTTGTGCTATAACCTGGTCTCATGTCTTGGTATACTCCCAGTTGCATTATTTTAAATTTACAAGTAAGAAAGTAAAACAAAGCTTCCTATCTGTGAAAGTGAAAAATAGTCCAGAAGTCTTCTATTCAAAGACAAATTAGATTTTTCTTCCCAATAACTTACCAGAAAGAAATGGATAGTTAGAAGCCCTAAGGGGTTCTTTACATAGGGGTCAGAAAAAATAGATAAAAATAAAGAAACAAAGCAAGAAAGAACATTGTTAAAAAATAAAATGTTCTTTAAAGATGACTGCCCTCTCTTTAAAGATGAATGCTCTATTAAATGGGTAGATGTGTCTCTATAACTCATCATGTTTATATGTAAATTCTCTGGCAGATATAAACCCATCTTTGTCTTCATCTTCTTTATCAAAAATATCTTCTACCAAAACATCATGATGACTTTCATTTACCACCGCACCATGTTTTTCAAACTCCTTCTTTAAATATGCTTTAACCTACAAAATAACAGATCTCATTAATAAATCGGATTTATAAGATACCTACACTGAGCCAATCAGTATCACAGACATGGACTAGTAGTTCATTTAACTAAATATACTAACTTCTAAACAACCATTTTATGACATAGTACTAATGATAGTTTAAAAATTACAAGAAATTTTTTCCCTTAAAAAAACTGTTACTAAACTGCTACAGTGGAGACACAAAATATTGCTCAAGGGCAGGGCTGAGTGTGGCGGCTCAGGCCTGTTATCCCAACTTTTTGGAAGTCTAGGTGGGAAGATCACTTGAGGTCAGGAGTTGGAGACCAGCCTGGCCAACATAATGAAACCCCGTCTCCACTAAAACAGGGAAAAAAGTTAGCCAGGCATGGTGGCGTGTTCCTGCAATCCCAGCTACTCAGGAGGCTGAGGCAGTTGAACAGCTTGAACTGGGGAGGCAGATGTTGCACTGAAACGAGATTATGCTGCTGTACTCCAGCCTGGGCAACACAGTGAGTCTCTCTCTCTCTATATATAAATATATATATATATATGTGTGTGTATATATATATATATATATATATATACACACACACACACACACACACATATACATATATAGGTATATATAGATGTATATATACATTAATATATATTAATGTATATATACACACACACATATACATACACACACACACACATTATATATATTATATATATACTGCTTTCTCTCTCTTGCTCTGTGTGTGTGTGTGTGTGTGTGTGTGTGTGTATATATATATATATATATTGCTCAAAGGCAAAGATAAAGTTTATGTCATGTACACAATTCTTACATAAGGCTTAAATTATTGGAAAATACCCAGTGAGAGCATACTACTTGTTCTTAATCTGAATCTAAATTACAGACATTTCTCTTCTCTCTCTTTTTTTTTTTTTTTTTTAGACAGAATCTTGATCCGTCACCCAGGCTGGAGTGCAGTGGCACTATCTCGGCCCATTGCAACCTCTGCCTCCCAGGCTCAAGCAATCCTTCCACCTCAGCCCCCCAGGTGTCTGGGACTATAGGCATGCACCACCACATCTGAATAACTTTTATATTTTTTGTAGAGAGGGGGTTTCGCCATGTTGCCCAGGCTGGTCTTGAACTCCTGGGCTCAAGCAATCCAACCGCCTTGGCCTCCCAAAGTGCTGAAATTAGAAGCATGAGCCACTGCAACCCATGGACACTTCTTTTAAAACTAGATTAAATAGTGGCATCTTTGACTTGAATAAATGTCTGCAAGTAGTGGGCCTTCTGAGTTTGGTTATGATCATGCCACACTGACTGAGTCTAGTCACAACCTTCCAGTCTCAGCAAGACAGGCCTGATAAGTACCTAGACTACAATTTTCCATTTTCATTTTATCTTCTTCTTCCTCTTCCTCTTCTTCTTCTTCTTTTTTTTTTTTTTTTTTTTTTTTGTGAGATAGAGTCTAGCTCTGTCGCCCAGGCTGAAGTGCAGTGGTGGGATCTCAGCTAACTGCAACCTCTGCCTCCCAGGTTAAAGTGACTCACCTGCCTCAGCCTTGCTAGTAGCTGAGACTACAGGCCCCTGCCACCATGCCTGGCTAATTTTCTTACTTTTAGTAGAGATGGGGCTTTCACCATCTTGGCCAGGCTGGTCTCGAACTCCTCCTAACCTCAGAAGATCCGCCTGCCTTGGCCTCCCAAAGTACTGAGATTACAGACGTGAGCCACCATGCCTGGCCTCCACTTTCATTTCATTCATATGTTTAAAAACATAAGTATTGTTTTCAATTTCCCACAAGATTCACCAAAATGCAAATCAGCCTATATTTTCATTTTTAATCATATCATCTCTCTTCCTTCTGTTTAGACCAGCAATTTCAAATCCTCTTTCCCCCAGCTTCCAAGAAGTATACATATAGTATATATTATTTTTAAGTCAAAGTGATTTAATCTAGTTGTTAAAAAAAAGGGATGGGGGAGAGATGATGAAACTATGGATTAATGTAGAATGTTATTTCTAGGATATATTGTTTGAATAAAGCAAAATGACAAAATAGTATGTATAGTTTGCTACCTTTTGTGTAAGAAAGGGGAAAATAAAAGTATGTATTTGGATTTGTAGAAAGAAACACTGATTAGAAACTAATAAAACTGGCCGGCTGCAGTGGCTCACACCTATAATCCCAGCACTTTGGGAGGCTGAGACAGGCAGATCATGAGGTCAGGAGATCAAGACCATCCTGGCCAACATAGTGAAACCCCGTCTCTACTAAAAATACAAAAATTAGCTGGGTATGGTGGCACGCACCTGTAGTCACAGCTACTCGGGAGGCTGAGGCAGGAGAATTGCTTGAGCCCAGGAGGTGGAGGCTGCAGTGGGCGGAGGCTACAATGGGCCAATATTGCTCCACTGTACTCCAACCTGAGCAACAGAGTGAGACTTTGTCTCACAAAAAAAAAAAAAAGAAAAAAAAAAGAAAGAAAAAGAAAAGAAACGAATAAAACTATAAAACTGAGCTGGGTGCAGTGGTGCATACCTGTACATAGCAAGATCTCATCTCAACAACAACAACAAAAAATAAGCAAAAACAAAGAAGCAAAAAAACAGAAAGAAATAAAGTAATTAATAAAACTGGATGTGGGGCTAACAGAAGAGGATATGAGTAGAAGAAAGACTTTTAAAATTATGTAAGTAATAGAGACAAGGTCTTGCTATGTTGGTGAGGTTGGTCTTGAACTCTTGGCCTCAAGCAGTCCCCCCACCTAAGCCTTCCAAAATGCTAGGATTACAAGTGTTAGCCACCTTGCCCAGCCAAGACTTTTAAATAAATTCCTTTTTGCCAGGTGTGGTGGTTCACGCCTGTAATCCCAGCACTTTGGGAGGCCAAGGCAAGCGGATCACAAGACCAGGAGGTCAAGACCAGCTTGGCCAACATGGTGAAACCCCATCTCTATTAAAAATACAAAAATTGGCCAGGCGCAGTGGCTCACGCCTATAATCCCAGCACTTTGGGAGGCCAAGACAGGTGGATCACGAGGTCAAGAGATGGAGACCATCCTGGTCAACATGGTGAAACCCCATCTCTACTAAAAGTACAAAAAAAAAATTAGCTGGGCATGGTGGTGCACACCTGTAGTCCCAGCTACTCGGGAGGCTGAGACAGGAGAATTGCTTGAACCCAGGAGACGGAGGTTGCGGTGAGCCGAGATCGTGCCATTGCACTCCAGCCTGGGTAACAAGAGTGAAACTCCGTCTCAAAACAAAACAAAACAAAACAAAAATTAGCCAGCATGATGGTGCAGCTACTTGGGAGGCTGAGGCAGAATAATTGCTTGAACCTAGGAGGCGGAGGTTGCAATGAGCCGAGATTGCACCACTGCACTGGGCAACAGAACAAGACTGTCTCAGGAAAAAAAAATTAAAATAAAAACAAGTAATAAAATACCTTTTTGTTTTAAGCCATATGACTATGTTGTATATTCAAAATTATTTAATAAAAGGGAATTAAAATTTATCTCTGATGGAAGAAAAAGGCATACGACTGGTGACACTATGAGGTGTTATAAATTTAGTGGCTGTGGATCATGACCCCCTGGTTCATAACAATTTGGCTTATCCAAGACTTAATCATTTCCTGGACAGTAGAATGAAATTGATCAAAGTATAGAAAGGGACTGGATATCTGACCAGCCAGGACAGAATGGAGTGTGAGAAGATAAAAAACATAGGGATAAATATCTACCTCTACTTCTTTCCTCACAGCATCCAGACTAAGACATATGTGTAGCAATGGCTGTGAAAGCCTGATTATAAGGAGAAGCCTCTTCTTCCTTTTTCTTTCCCCAAAGGCTCAGACTTTGATGGAGCTGGAGGTCCCCTGCTGTTGAAAACCCAGGCTGGAGTCTCCTTTCTCTGGGGCAACCGGAACAAAACTGAGCATGTAAGTTGCTTGCTGTTAATTGCTAGGAAAGTACTACAAGATGTATTTAACAGCCAGTCTACAGTTTTAACAGAAACTGTCCACATGAGATATTTCTCAGGACAGCTAGCTTCTTATACAGTAACTCCAGATAGAAACTGTCTTGGCAAAATGGTTCTTTCAGAGACCCAAGGGTAAGGATAAGATACAGTGGACCGTAAGCATTGGGAAGAAGAAAGCAAAAGATTGAATGGTGCTTTTTAAGTCTTAATATATTTCTCTCCAAAACCATAATTTACTATGAAAAAATCCAATTTCAAAGCATCACTATTTTAAGAAAATTATGTTACCTAAATACAATTTTAAATATATATATTTATTTTAAAAGTGAGTTACAAAACAGAAACAAACAAATATACCAAAAAAACCCCAAACAACAACACAAAAAAAAGTAGAAAGGGGAGTAGGAAGAAGGAAAGGTCACCTCATCTTTAGAGAGTTTCCAGTCATCGTTAAGATCCATTTCTTGGAATGATTCATGGGATCTTGGTCCATTTCGAATCTCCAGGAGATCAATATTAAATATCAGTGTACTTTCTGGGGGAATTTTACCTGACATGAGGAGAGAAGGCAGATAGTTTTAAAAGATCCAAAGTTTTAATAATAGAAAATTTATGGTAATGGACAAAGCATTTTTTTAACTGCTTTAAAGAGCCTTCCTAAGATTGTCATATATGATGAAAATTATGTATATTATATTTTATTCAAATAAAATAGAGTAAAAGAAGAAATAATATAAACTAGTAGACCAAAAGCATTCTATCTTTGGCTTAGCAATCAAAATATAAATATATGTATACACACATGCAACACATATACATACACAGAGATGTATCTAATGGCTTGGGTATTAAATTTCTAATATAATTAATATATTACATATTATATGTCAAGAAGGACTTAAAGGGTTTTATAAAATTTAGAGTTAAGTATATTACAAGTCGTAGAGTAACTTTTCAGTCAGAAAGTCCTGACCTAGAACTCCATGTAGTATTGCCATTTCTACCACTGGAAGGCATTTCTACCCACATAATTGAATGAGCTCTGGTATCACACTGTCTGGGACTGAAGTTTACATTTGCCCATCTCTGTACCTCAATTTCCTCATCTATGAAATGCAGACAATAAATTTCCTACCTCAAGAGTCTGTTGGAAGGATAAAGGGAGAAAAATCCATGCAAAATACTTAGCATTAAGCTTCACAAATAGCTTGACTCTCAAATCATGTTATTGAGGTATAATTTTCTTACAGGCTTTAAAAATAATGCAGGAAGGTTTAACAATTTCAAAAAGTTAGGCAACGCTACCTCTGACATAGAACATTTTATATATGTTGAAGACATTTCAAGGGAGGGGAGAAATTAAAATGAATTTCTGAGAAGGGAGATTAAAAATCTTTAAAAGTGAAAAGGGCTTTGTTAAAGTCCCAGGAACCTAAAACAAACAAACAAAAACACCCATCTGTGGACTATGGACAATTTTTTTTATACTTGCTTTTTTAATAACTATATTTAACATACAGGTCTGGGTAAACAAGTTAAGTATTTCTTAGTCATCCTCCCCCATCCCACATATTTCCATGAAAGAACATTCATAAGTTTCAAAGAGAAGACTTACAAAGTGTGTTGATGCTTACCATTCCAGATCTAGACAGAGATGCGACATGCACTAGGTTGTTGATAAAACTTGTGTCTTTCCAAAAGAGGCATGCAAGCATGTACTAAAAGACTACAAAATTAGTGTTAAATACAGATTAGAAGAATTAGTTTCATGGCATTCAGTTTGAGGAGATGACTCAAATTTAGATCTCTACTTACTGTGAAGTAAATTTGAGTTAAATATAGTATGAAAAAGAGTAATGGACTAATACCATGTACAGTAGTCCCCCCTTGGGTATCTCCCAAGAACCCCATTGGATGCCTGAAACCATGTATAGCACCAAATCCTATATGAACAATGCTTTTTCCTATACATGCATATCTGTGATAAAGTTTAATTTATAAAATAGGCACACTAAGAGATTAAAAATAATAAAATAGAATAATTACAACAACATATCATAATAAAAGTTATGTGAATGTGATCTCTCATTCTCAAAATACCTTAATACTTTCAGACTGCAGTTGACCACAAGTAACTAAAACTGTAGAAAGTCAAACCACAGGTAAGGGAGGGACTACTGTATATAAATATTAAAGGTGAGACAATAAAGATACAATGAAAAAATTCTCAGCATCAGAAAAAATTTTCTAGATACTTGGTTTTCTTCTCTACAGAATTTTTTTTTTTTTTTTTTTTTTTTTGAGATGGAGTTTCACTCTGCCACCAGGCTAGAGTGCAGTAGCTCACTGCAACCTCCACCTCCCAGGTTCAAGCAATTCTCCTGCTTCAGCTTCCCGAATAGCTGGGACTACAGGTGTGTGCCACCATGCCCAAGTAATTTTTTTGTATTTTTACTAGAGACAGGGTTTCACCATATTGGTCAGGATGGTCTCAATCTCCTGATCTCGTGATCCACCTGCCTATCTCCCACAGTGCTGGGATTACAGGTGTGAGCCACTGCACCTGACCTCTAATGAGGATTATAACTAAAATAAGAATGAATTCGGTTAGTAAATCTTATCCTACAAACAAGATTTGTATAGCTAGTTCCATTTTGGAATATATAATGCTTCCCATATGGCCTCTATTTTCTTTCTCAGGAAATGGGCTGGAAATTCTGACCCCTCACTTTATCAGTGCTTAACCTTAGATTTCAGGATGCTATGAAGTCTATATTTACACTATATCAGAGTGGTTGTCTGTCTGGTTCTGATGACTACTTAAACATTTTTTTCTTCATTACATAAGTAATACATGCAGATACTCAGATGATAAAACCAGAAATAAATATGATTCCCAGTATCACAGTCTATTGTTAACATTCTTGTTTATTTCCTTGTGATTCACTTTCTATGTATATGTACTTTTTCCTATATTTGCTATCATATTATATATACAATAGGTTTATTTTCTATTTTTATATATTATATATATAAAATTTTTGGATATAATTTTTAAAATCTTTGGAAATGCCATTTTAAACAACTGGGCTATATTTTATTTAGCTAAATTCTTATCATTATACCACTTAGGACAGTTACATTTCTTTGCTATTAGAAACAATGCGGTGATGGACATCCCTGTTCACAAATCTTTTTCCTGATATCTAATTATTCCCTTAGGTTAGATTCTAATAAGGGAATTATAGGATAAATGCATATAGACATCTTCAAGTATCTTTTTTTTTTTCTTTTTTCTTTTTTGAGATGGAGTCTCTCTCTGTCACCCAGGCTGTAGTACAGTGGCATGATCTTGGCTCATTGCAACCTCTGCCTCCCAGGTTCAAGCAATTCTTCTGCCTCAGCCTCCTGAGTAACTGGGATTATAGGCATATACCACCACATTCAGCTAATTTTGTATTTTTTGTAGAGACAAGGTTTCACCATGTTGGCCAGACTGGTCTCGAATTCCTGACCTCAGGTGATCCACCCTCATTGGCCTCCCAAAGTGCTGGGATTACAGGCATGAGCCACCACGCCTGGCCTCCTGATACATATCACCAAGCAGCTCTTTGGAAAGTCACAGGGGTTCTCACTTGAATACCAGTGTATATCTCTGCCCTGAAAAACTAGTACAAAATCTGTCTGGACAAGGTAGCCAGCTTGCTTCTCTGCTTTGTGACACACGGAAAATTAAATTCATTTCATGTCACTCTATGATTTTTTAAAATACATTATTAAAACTTTATAAATAAATTTTAAAGTGGGAATGAAAAGAACTCCCAGTAAGTTTGCTGTGGGAGACTTCATATTTGTGAAGTTCAGCTCATACAATCCACATCTGAAATGCATTCAGTGCTTTAATAATCTATATTTCAAATGTTCAACTTGTCCAAACTCTTATGTTAAGGGAATGAACTTTCTGCATTGTTAAAATAAATTGGTGAGTTTCAGTTTGGGAGGATGAGAACGTTCTGAAGATGGATAGTGGTGATGGTTCCACGATAATGTGATGTATTTAATGCCACTGAATTGTGTACTTAAATATGGTTCAAATGAAAAATTTTCTGTATATTTTATCACAATTAAAACAACCCACCATATTGGTGAACAGTATTAACAGACCTCCATGTTCTTTTTTCATTGTTAGCATCGTTGCCCATTTAGATATTATGGCCTTAAACTTGCCATTTCTTTCTCTTTTTCCTTTTTTTTTTTTCTTTGAGATGGAGTCTTGCTCTGTTGCCCAGGCTGGAGTGCAATGGCTCAATCTCGGCTCACCACAACCTCCACCTCCCGGGTGATTCTCCTCCCTCAGCCTTTTGAGTAGCTGGGATTACAGGCATGAACTACCATGCCTGGCCAATTTTATATTTTTAGTAGAGATGGAATTTCTCCATGTTGGTCAGGATGGTCTCAAACTCCCAATCTCAGAAGATCCACCTGTCTTGGTCTCTCAAAATGCTGGGATTACAGGCCTGAGCCACCGTACCTGGCCATTAAACTGGCCATTTCAATTGATAATCAAGACAGTTGCTAAAGGAATACATGCCCCCTGTTAACTGCTAGGAAAAAAAAAATTGTAGGGACTCTAACTTCTGTCTCCTAATCCAGAGAACAACTCTAGCGCTATCGTAAGAATAGAAGTGCTATTACCTTTTCCTTCTTTTCCATATCCCAGGGCCGGAGGAATGATGAGCTTTCTCTTCTCTCCTACACACATTCCTTTTAAGCCCTGGTCCCAACCTTTGAGAGCCTCCAGGATGCCCAGGGTAAACCAAATGGGCTGACCATTGTTATGTTTATGACTATGATAAAAAGAAAATACATTATAACTCTTTATTAACTCTAAAAAAATTTCTTTAGTGCATTTTTCCACCAATAAGTAGTTAAGTTTATTAGTTTAAAAATTAATAACAGCTATTCTGTATTTGCACAAATACACACACCTCCAAGTCAAGTTTATAGGAATTCAATTTGCTGCCCATCTTTCTTGATGCAAATTTCACATACTTGACAGGGCTTGAGAAAGACAGAGGAAATAATAAAAACACTTAACAACCGTTTGAACATTTGTTGTATACCAGGAATCATTCTAATTTTTTTTTCCTCTTAACCCTTACAATAAGCCTATAATGTAGGTACCATTATTACCCCGTTGTACAGATGAGGACACACAGGTTAAGTGTTCTAGTCTTTAAATCTAACTCCAAAGTTCAAGGTCTTAACCACAAAGTTATGTTGTCCCAGGCAGGCAACTAGGTTGTAGAATAGGCAGAAAATAATGGAAAATGGCTGAGTTTGGGAAGGAGATTGAAAGGCTAAGGGGAATTTACTGCCAACACATGTGGGTCCATATACACACAGATATGGAGAGTCAGAAGCACAGTGTCTTATATCCTGCCTACAGACTTTCCTTAGCTATGGCCTGCTGATGGCTCTATCAGGTAGAAAAGGCTGCTTTCATCTCTAAATCCCCACTCAGTCCCCAGCCCTGTTCCCTCCTCAGGGGTCTACAATGGGGCTATATAGGAAAGTCTGGAAGAGTGGCCCCTCAAGGACTCGTGTGTTAGTCCATTTTTATATTGCTGTGAAGAATCCTAAAGACTGGGTAACTTATAAAGAAAAGGAGGTTTAATGGACTTGCAGTTCCACATGGCTGGGGAGGCCTCACAATCATGGCGGAAGGCAAAGGAGGAGCAAAGGCACATTTTACATGGTAGCAGACAAGAATGAATGTGCAGAGGAACTGCCTTTTATAAAACCATCAGATCTTGTAAGACTTACTATCACAAGAACAGCATGGGGAAAACCTGCCCCCATGATTCAATTACCTCCTACCAGGCCCCTCCCACAATAGGTGGGGATTATGGGAGCTACAGTTTAAGATGAGAGTTGGGTGGGGACACAGGTGAACCATTTCAACTGGGGAGGAGGGAAACAATGTCCTGGCTCATGAGCTGAAGACAGTCTAACCCAGGAAAATCAACCTGCCTAACTACTTACTTACAGGGAGGCTTGAGGGCTGGGTAAGGCCTGATCCCTACTTAGCTCCCTTTCAGTGCAATAAGAAAAATATTATATTCAAGGATATCTTGTAGGTGAGAAAAAGAAGTCACTGTACTAGGCTTCGTGAGTATCATGGTTACTAAATCTAGATAATGCCAGTTTTTCCTGTAATTTTCCCCAATGATCAAAGTAACAAAATGACAACTGTAGAAAATTTGGGAAGGCTAGAAAAGAAAAAAGAAGGAGGAAACATTCTACTACTCATCACTGACTACAATTTTAGCACATTTCTTGTTAGGGTTAAACAATTTACCCCGTAGACCATGGTTCTAGAGATGGCAAATGTGCCTACTGACTGATCATTTGATGGTATTTCTTCATGATGCTTACAATTAGCAGCTTCTGATCATTTACATGGAGGCTGCATGATAATAGTCCCCTCATCAGATATTAGAACTTAGCAGCAAACTGCTAAATAATATTCCATGGCTACCATCAAAGTCAGAACAGGTTTTTGGTTCAGAGATCTGAAAGAAACCGGACTCAGTCTAAAAGAGATCAGACTAAAAATAAGACTGTAACTGAATATCAAAATGCAAATCACATCATTTAATGTCCCCTGTGGCATTCACCTAGTTGACAAGAAGAAAGTGCTGTTGAGAATTCTAAGGCAAGCCATCTTTCTGGAACTTTTTTCCCAGGGCTAACAGTTCAGAGGAGAGTGCCATTCATTCCCCCAACCCTCAAGACAGACCAGGTCTGAATGCCCAGTAAAGGCAGTTATTAGAAAACTAGGTCTAGGATGGGCTATGAAGCTTCACTGTTTTAATTCATGTCATTCCCTCTACCTGCAAAATCCTTCCTCCACTATTTTCCCCCTGGAAACCTCCACCCATCTTCCAAGGTGCATTTCAATTATGGTCTCTGGGAAGTCTTTCCCTTTCCTCACCCCATGGAGCATAACTACTTCCAGGCCCAGCTAGGCTTCGCTAGCACTTTGAATATTCTATACTTTGTATCACTGCAATATTTACTCGTCTTCCTCCCACCTGCAGATGGTGTACTGTTAGAGGACAAGAACCTGCTCCTAGCCATCTTTGTGTCTCCAGGGCCTGACTTGTGACCATCCAATAAGAGTTTGATAGACAGACAGATGAATGGATAGATGAGTATGATTAGAAGCCAAAATTTCTGAATCTCCCTAGCACCAAGCATATGGCTTAACATAAAGGAAATGCTCACTAAATACTTTCATAATGGAATGAATGGAACCAATGCCTAATTGGAAATCATTAGGCTTGTAAACCATTTCCATGTTGCAATTTCTTTGTTTATAGAACAGAAACGATAGTGTAACCATCTGAAAATCCTTCACCTAAACTTCCACAACCACACCCACCTCATCAATAAAGCCTTTCTAGAAAGAAGCAAATGCCTGAAATCATGATCCTGTGCCTTGACCAAAATATCATCTGTCAGAACAAAAGTTAAGTAGGTCAGTGAAACAGCATCAGTATATCCTTCAACAGGCAAATAAGTGATTGCGTAGTTTGCTTTTGAAGTCGCTATGAAAAGTTTTAGGTGAACATCACCTACACCACGTTAAAAAGGGAATCAAGTCATTTTCCCTAAGAAATGGAGTTTGAGATATGAGAATTCTTTTGAGCTTTTTCTACTTATTGCCCAATTATACACTCGAATATATTTCTGCAATGTTTCAAAGATTCCAATTCTAATTTTTATAATAAAAAAATTAACAGCCTTTTCCAGACCACGTTTCCAATGACACCTTTTGAGGCCTCGCTCACTATATAAAACTGGCTTTAAACAATTTCCTTCCCCAAAGAAAGAAATAAGATATTTCGGTTTGTAAAAGAGGTAAAACCAGGTACAAGCCACCTTTCCCGCTGGAGAGCTGGCAAAAGTGGGTGGATTGTTGATTACTGTTTTACTTACGGGGCATAATTACTTACGTGGAGTGAAACAAGGAGCCGTCCTTTTCTAAGTAGCCTTCATAGTGTACCAACATCAAATCCCCTCCTTTGGTCTTGCGATGGCAGATGAATGGTTTCTGGAGAACTTCAATTTTCACTTCTGGTTCAGGGATCAGAGCCCCAATCAAAGAAGTGACGAGCAGCGTCAAGACCGTGTTCCACAAGAAGAGCCTCATGTTGCTGAAACAGGAAAGAAGTCCCTACAAAAGCAGCGAAAAGGCCCTCAATTTCATAAATTTAAGAGCTTAGTTCAAGGCTTAGGGATAACGGCCTCAGGCAAGTTCAGGACTTCCCCTTGTTAGAAGACGTGGCACATTTACTACTACTTTCTCACGGGGCCTGAACCCACCTTTAAAGAGTTAAGCCCAAATGTAACCCTGACAGGCTCTTATAACGCTGCCGCCTGGGAAGCGCGGCCTCCCATTGGCTTTTCCTGCTGTCCTTCAGGCAGCCCTCAAGCCACTGACGCTGCAACGGTGGAATTCACAGCCCGGTCGAGCCGGGCAGTTAGCCAAGCGGCGGATCATCCCGTATGGGTCCTAGAGCCCGGCGGATTTCAGAATGTAACAAGCAAGGATTTTGGGCGAGGGGCGGGGCGCAGAGCCAACCGGAAACTCCTCCAGCTGGTTTATCTCTGTGAAGAGCCCCGCTGAGAGGGGTAGGAAGAGTCCGGGGGCGCCGTGAAACTGTCGGAGTTCCAGGAAAGACTAGTTTACTCTCGCCGTTGCAGAGCGGCCCTCCAATATGCTACAAACCTAGGCTTCTGCTATTGCTCATAAACTGTAAAGACTTACATAGCGCTTTAGGGTTCACAAAGCGCGTTCCTGTTGCATGAACCTCAATCAGTAAGGCAGGTTCTTTTTTTTCCATTTAAAAGAGAAATAAATTTAGACCAGGAGAGATTAACTGTCCTGCTTAAGGTTGTTTGGCCCCGAAGCAGATGAGCTCAGCCTTCAAACCAGGTCTGATTCGTTCCACAGCTCCCCGTAATGTTATGGCTGCTAATAATTTATCCCTTAAGTTACCTTAGAGGGTAAATAATGAGTTACGACGTGCAGACTTCCGGATTAAAAAAGAAATGGTAATCATGGTTACGAATTACACAGCCTCATTTTAGTTTACATTTTCTAATTTTACATTTTTCGCCTAAGTTCTAAAGCAATACAGTTCATTGTAGTCAATTTGGAAGAAATTGGAAAGCACTAAAGTAGGATATCCAGATAAAATTGGGGAGTCGAATTAAGTTTGAATTTCAGATACATAACGAATAATTGTTTTGCATTTTTATTTATTAAATCAGGCAACCTTACACTAAACAAAAAGAAATATCGCCGATACCACCACCTGCTGCAAATAATCCTCTTAATATTTTGGTGCATGCTTCTATGCCATATACCTAAAGCGATTTTAAACGTATTGTACTCTGTGTGTGTGTTGTACTCATTTCTCACCTTCTCTTTCCACTTAATCTGTAGTTAACGTTTTTCCTGGTCAAATATTCTTAGCACAGTGCATTTTGGCACTCTGTGTACATAGGGATCCCCCTGGAGTTCTTGCTTAAAATGCAGATTTTGATTCTGGAGGTCTGGAGTGGGTGCAAGATTCTGCATTTCTAACAAGCTCTTAGGTGATGTCAATGCTCTGGGTAAGTGGACCAACACTTCCAGTACCGAGATCTTAGAGTCTGGACAACGCCTGTTTACACCGACCTCAAAGTACTCCACTCTGAAATTCCAATTATCTCTTTACGCCCTATTATTGGCTACCTGAAGTGCGTGAGATCAATTAGGCAGCTCTGGAACAAGAATAGGGACTAGAGTCCAAGGAGTATTGTGAGAGGTTACGTAGACACCACCCCAAACGTCGGGCACGATTTACAGTCAGCACTGCCCTACAAGTGTCTCAGGGGCCTCCCTCCTCTCATCGCCCACTCCCAAGTCCGCGTCCCGGGACTCAATTTCCCTGCGGGCCTTTCCGGCAAAGTCGGCCCTGCAGCCGCCGCAGCCGCGAAATCCCGGAGTGGATTTTGGGAAGGGGCGCGCGAGCGGCGCACCGGGCATGCGCGAGCGCGTCCTGGGCCCGGCGGGTGGAGGGTTCAGGTAGCGCGCCGTGGCGCCTCCTGCCTCGTTTGCCGTACTTCGGAGGTTTCGGCCGCCCCTCCAGCCCACGTAGGGCGCGGGTCCTGGTCTCATTGTGAACAGCGTGTCCGGTTTCGCCGCGTCGGCTCACCGCCTAGCTGGGCTTCTCGCACCGAGGCCGCCGCAGTGACCCCGCCCCCGGGCCGAGGATGTGAGGCGGGCCGGGCGTCCCCACACCGGGCCCTGGCGCCGGGAGTGGGCGTCTGGGCCGCGCCGGGCGATGGCCCTGGGGCCGGTGCTCCTCGCCTCCTGGGTCCTGGGGCAGTGAGGGGGCCGGCGGGCGTGGGCCGAGGGGCCGCGGGCGCCATGGAGGGGGTGCTGTACAAATGGACCAACTATCTGAGCGGTGAGTGGCCGCGTCGGGCCGGGGGTTCGCGGGGGGCCTGTCCTTTGTCTGCGCGGCCGGAGGGCGATGTCTGGATCCGTCCTGGGGCTTGGGGTCATGGCCCTTCCTGAGGCCAGCGTGGAGTCGAAGTATTTTTCAAAGCAGTTCTCTCACTGGACCTTGTCACCGTGCTGGACGACACGGCCCTCTCTTGGGGCTGGGTGAGAGCAGTGGCTGCCCTTTCACTTCAGGGAGGCTACAAAGACTTGCGATTTGGGGTGACTTGAAAGGCACGGTGCTCTCGATGTCAGCTGGAGGAAGGCGCAGACGCTCCGCTGCGGGGTCCTCTGCGAGTCTCTTGCATTCTGGCGAAGGAACCGGACTCTCTTGACTCGCAGCTAGGTTGGAAGGTTTCTAAAGAATCCCTGTAGTAACCTGGAATTCCACAGGGGAAAGATCCTTTATCAAAGTCACCAGTGCAAACACTTCCCCTTTGTCACCTTCAGAGTCATCTGCGTGCACACCAAGGTGTCAGAGTGCAGCTCCACAGTTTCAAAGCTCCAAAGTCTGCACAAGGTTTTTTATTTTCTCGCAGAGCATTTCCTTTTGTTTTACAGACTCAGAAATTACCGTTAAATGAATGCAAATATTTGCAGCTGTCTTGCCCTGCCTTACAGATTGGCTTTAAAATGGTACCCGCCCCTTTTCTAGTTTGTGGAGGTAAAGGTTTCATATCTTGAGAAGGTTATAACTGTTGTACAGCTGTGAAGATTTTTCAGAACGATCTTTTTTTTTCTTGTGTGCAACTAGTATTTAATAAAAGCCTACTATTTGCTGGAAACTGTGTTAGCCACTTTTTTAGAGGTAAACTTTTTATAGAAAATGGATTAGGTTTTTAAGTTTTAAAGGCAGTGTGTTTGAAAGCAGAAATGTTCCCAGTATCTCTTAGAGTGGGTGACAGATGTTTTCCTTTCTTTTGTGGGATAGGTTTTAAAGGTTGTAGTATGGTAATATACCGAGTGTTTTAAGAATGGCTGTGTGTGGGAGGATCAGTTGGCATAGTAACTTCGAGGAGGTCACACAGCACAGCCAAAGGTGCCCCTCTTAGGCGTACCCAGAATCTTTTGCCTTTGCCTCGTATAATTAGCAGTGAGTTCTGTTTATTTTTTCTGTAATCATTGGTGGAGACTAAATGAGAAGAGGTGTTTTTTTTTTTTTTTTTTTTTTTTT